AGGTGTGCCGACCAAGGCTACAACGTACACAACTGCGTACACAACTGCAGCACTACAAGGACCAAGCCCCGCATATGGTACGGCCGCAAGGCTGCTGCATGTGGTGCGAAATTCACGGTGCTCGGTGACGCTACGTATCAAGCGTCCTCGGTTGTACGTGAGGCGCGGGTGGTACGATTGTCCCTGGAGGAACCGTTGCCGGGGGATTGCAAAGTTGCAGCTCGCTGTGCGTCCCTCATTCCGACCGAAACCTTAAGACTGTGCAGGCGAAACCGCCTACATGGCTCGAAAACTTCCCCCCAGTCTCTTGCATGGTCGCCTGGAACTTACATAGTCCTCCTCTTCTACATAGCGGGCGTGGGGAGGCTGACCCCGGGTAGCTAGCCCGAGCCCCACGTAGGGTACCCGTAGTTTACACAGCGGGACCCGGATCTGTGGTGAGGCGTGGGTGATACGGTGGCCCCAGGAGGAACGTTTGTCTGGGGATGAGCACAGATCCGGGTCCCGCTGTGTAAACTACGGGTACCCGACGTCGGGCTGGATGCCCGGGGTCAGCCCCTCACGCCCGCTGTATGTAGAAGAGGAGGACTAAGTTTCAGGCTAAGAATTCAGGCTAAGAAGATAGATGACCATGCAAGAGACTGGGGAAAGTTACCGAGCTAGGAGGTGTCGCCTACTACCTAATCCACAAGGCCTGGTCCGAGTGAGGAACAACGACAACCGGGAGCAAAGATCAATCCAATTTTTTGGCGACCCCGCGTCAGAACGCACGAAGAGGCCCTCCAAGAGATGGAACTACTGTAGTAAACATGTCTTAATCTCAATTCGACGTTGTCAGCGACCTGTGATCTATAGAAGCCGAAATCAAACCAATAGACCGGTCAGCGCTGCCTAGTCTAATGGTTTGATGTCGGCTTCTGTAGATCGTTGGCCGCGATAGCCATCCATGTTCTTCGCAGACGCAACAAAAGATACACAATGAAATCAGGCAGCTGGCATGTATGTACGGCCGCGGTTTGCCTACACAAAGGGTCCTCTCCAGTTGGACTATCCCCCTGCCCTTGCGCTGTTCTTGGGGGACGCCACCGTCTGCATTCACCCCGTTCACGACACGCTCTCAGAGAGAGAGAGAGAGAAAGAGAGGGAGGAGAGAGAGGAGAGAGACATTGCCATCGCAGGGATCATGCTCCTCTGTGCATTTCGTCCGCCTTATGCCCCACCCCCGCGCTCCTCACCAAGATCAATGGGATCCCAGGCGTCCTTCCCCAAACCCCGATGAGGTAAAAAAAAATCGGGTGGACGATATTGTTTCCTGCATCTATTCCCTTTGATCCGGGGACGTTTGGCTACCACCCCCGGACTGTACCGAGGGACACTTACCCTTCGCGGGTCTCTCTTAACTTCGATAGGAGCATGTAAAGAAAAGGGGGGGGCAGGGTGTCCGGGATTCTGCTTCGCGTGCTCACCTCGATCCCGCCCTCCGCCACCAGCCTGCAAACCACCACGGCCTGCCTCCGGTGCTGCTGCTGCTGCTCCCCGGGGGCCGTCCCGGCGGCGCCCTCCGGCAACGCCTCCGCCCTCCGCACCTCCCGCACCGTCACGAGGGCGCTCTCCTCGGCTCGACTGGCCAAGCACGGGTATCTGTCCTCAACCTCGCAAACCTCAGCGGCTTCCGCCGCCGCCGCCGCCGTGGCCTGTGGAGGAGCTCCACCCCCATTGTTCTTCTCGCCGCCCCCCGCCCAGGCCTCGAAAGCCGTCTCCCAGCGCTTCTTGGGGGGAAGGGGTCGCCGCATTACCCCGATGATGCCGCCGCCGCCGGCGAGAAGACCTCCCCCCCCGGACCAGCTGCCGGCCCTCCCTAACCCCCCATCGGTACCACCCGGGTCGGAGTCCGAATCATCGGAGCCCAGCGCGCGCCCCGCGATAAACGATCCCCCACCGCTGTTGGCGTCTAACAACGGCGGTGGCTGTCGACGATGGTCGAGGAGATTCGACGTTGACGAGGTCGTCGATCCGCGCCGCATGACCCCGCTTTGCCCGCTGCCGCTGCTAGCGGCACTGGCGGTGCTGACTCGTCGCTTGAGCCTCGGGGGAGCGCTCTCTCCGCCGCCGCCGCCGCCTTCGCTCGTGGAAGGGGAAGCTCGCCCACCGCCACCGCCGTTCTGCGGAAACCCGCGGCGTTTGCCGGGGCCGTTGCTGCTGCCCCCGCCGACTCTCGATCTCGCGGTGGCGCCACCCCCGGCGCCGCCTTTGGGAGGCGCTGCCGCTGCCGGCCCGCTAGCGGTGGACGACGTCAGCGACGCCGACCGCGTCAGCTGCTGGGAAGAAGAAGGCACGGCGCCCCCGAGAGTCGGCGCCTGTGCGAGCAGGGGCGGCGGCGGCGACTTTGATGACGATTCGGAGGGTGTCACGGCAGCGTCTCCGGCGGCAGCGGCGGCGGCGGCTTCATCGTTCGTGATTTTGTCTCGGGGGCGGCAGCGCTTGGAGTGCTGCTGGAGGACGTCTGGGACTACGTCCACGACCTCCCCGCAGTTGCGGCACTCCATGGTCGCGCCCGCCCCCCACTGCAGCACGATCTTGCAGTCGCTCCTGGGCGAGTGCCGTTTGGGTAGATATATAGGGGGAAGCATAACACGGCATCAAAGGGCAGTACAATACCTGGCAGGGAATGGAACGCACTGGTTGATGGACAACGTGACAACGTGTTTTCCGATTCTGTCCTGTCGCTTGTGTATCGTGGCGATTAAAAAAAAACAAAAAAACGGCTTGTCTTCCTGCCGCTGTTGAGAGAGAGAGAGAGAGAGAGAGAGAGAAAAAAAACGCCCCAAAAAAACTCACATCTGGACGTGTGTCGAAATCCTTCGGAAGGACTTCGTGCAGACCGGACACGGCCACAGGCTCTCGCTCCTCCTCCGGGAGCCCTTACCCTCGCTCCCTGCCGGCCCCTCCTTCGCGCCTGAATCCCTCACCCCCCCGGCTTTCGGCCGCCGGGACCCCACCACCGCGGCGGCTATGCCCCCGACCGGCGGGAAGTCGCCGCGTGCAACAGCGGGTCTGCCGGCCGCAGTCGAGCGTTTCCTCAAGGCCGCGAAGGCCTCGAGCTGGGCGCGCCCGGCAGGGGTGCTCCCGCACACCTTGTTCCTCGTGAGGTGCGCGGAGAGCCGCTCGAACATGGTGCCGCAGGTGGGGCAGACGCCGGAGAAGGTCTTCTTGACCCCCTGCTGCTGCTGCTGCTGCTGCTGCTGCGCTGCTGCTGCTACTGCCAATCCACCGCCTTCGTTGTTCGAGGAAACTGTCGACCCGCCCCCGCCGCCGTTTACGGAGAAGTAGCTCGAGGCGGTGGAAGACGCGTCCGGGGACGGCGACCGCCGGGACAGCGAGGAAGACACCGGCGAGGACGTCGACGGCGAGGACGGCCACTGCTGTGGCTGCTGCTGCTGCTGCTGCCGCCGCCGGCTGCTGCTGCTGCCGTTGCCGCCGTTGCCGGGGGCTGACGCCGCGGAGTTTGTCGTCGTCCTGCGGCCGCCGCCGCCGCCGCCGGTGTCGTCGATGAAGGCCGGGAATCCGGTGGCGCGGCCATGCCTCGTCGGAGACAAGCGGGATGGCGAGGGCGACGGGCTGTCCACATCCATGGCTGCTATAACTAGTGTGTGCCGACTGTACGTGCCGCCGCCGCCTGCCTCCTCTTGCACCGCGAGAACCGGGCGGCTGTTATTTCGCGAGCGGCGCTGAGCCAACGGGCGCCAGAGAAAAAAGGGCGGGGATAGAGTGAAAACGTCTTCTCGTCTTGGCTGCTGTAAGATCTTTCGTTGCTCGTCGTCGACAAACGAATGCTTCTCTATGGATCCAGGCCGCACGTGTCGTGTGAATGTTACGCTATGCAGCGGACAGGCTTGCGGATCTGGAAGTGCATGGTGTACATGGCATCCTGCAGGGATCTCGATTCGGCGAGTTCTCGAAAAGCACAAGGGCGCGACGTTGGGGGGAAGAAGTAGTCTTGTACGGCACCGCGGCATGTCGGGAACTTACTGGCGTGTCACGCCAGATAAAAGTTGCAGCGATGACCATGTTCACCGGACAACGTGTGGTGCGCCACAGACGGAAGCAGGTGTGTTCGGGTACGTATCGTAGGCATTCTTTCGTGGTACACCGTTCTATCGCTCACTCACCAACGTCTTCCTAATGTGTAACGGTTGAGAAAAGAGAGCGGACGCCGCCTTCCCCGTTTCTGGGCGTCTCGTTGGGGTGTGCCACCACCGCCGCCGCCGCCGCCGCCTATTCTTCTCGAGCGAGCTACAGTAGCAGTAACTCGTTTCTCCTAGACGGTCTACTGCCAGAGTGTATAACCATCGACGACACGAACAACCTCCATGCCAGATGCAAAAGGGCGTGGAAAGGTTTTCGTTCTCCGCCTGGCTCCCAGTCCCCCTCGTTCCTTCCTTCTTCCCACGAGAATACTTGGCCAGCACACCTGCTGGTTCCATGCAGCACGAGGGGCAGCACCACTATTGTTACATTTCGTTGGGGTAGGTTGCGTAAGATATCATACCCCCTGACGTAACCTGGAGTGAACTGTAACAGCCCGGATACTCTGCAGCATAAACAGTAGTGACGGCGCCGAAAATGGCGGCGTTGGAATCGTCTCATTGAGAGCTTTCCGAAAACGTACGGTATGATTTTCGACATCCTCTTGGTCGTGGAGTACCTATTCGAGCTTTGAAAATCAGTCCAGGGGGGGTGGTATCCTACGAAATTTCGGTATATCGATATACCCTTCGAGCGGTACGTGCAACCGCCGGCATGAACGACTCCCTGCCACCTGTCTGTTGGTGTGTGAGATGCCTGCCGGCCGGACAAGGGTGGCATTGTTGGGGTGTGTGTGTGTGTTCACCGAACGCGCAGTTTTGGCCAACCCGCAAGCTGTAAGCAAAGATCATTCCTTGTTTTTCAGCAGCCGTCGCACCCCCCCACCTCTCGACTGTGTGTGAATTAATCAATAGCACCTTGCAGGCCGTGGATGACCATCCTCCCCCACAGCTTCACAGCAGCAGCGAGCGCGCGCTACGTCAAGCATACAAAAGACGGCCCGGCGTCTACAGCGGTACGCAAGATTTGGGCGGAGTAGATTCACAAACATTTCAATCTTGCGAGGTGCCCGAGAATGGCTACCGACCACCAGCTCAGCCAACGGCACAGCAGGATGATCTTCGCACCTCACCTTCAACTTCTCTTAGTAACGGCAGTGATGTGTGCGAGGTGATGTGAGAGAGGTCAAGACCAAAGACTGTGAGTGGGGGGTCGCTGGCTGCTGCTCGCGGAGGGGGGTGGGGGCATGCAGGCTACAGAGATCCTGGAAGGCGTTTTTAGGTAGGGGGTGCGAAGATCGCGATCTTTCCGTTATGCATATGCAGTGATGATGCGATCTTTCCTTTCCATGTCGGTGTGTTCGCCTTGTGGAAGGCAGGGAGAGAGCGAGGTACGACGTGCTTCGGTCCAGGTATGTGGTGCAAGTCACAAGGGGAATCTGGCGTTGACGTGCCCCCGCTGCGTTCAAGAGCACACCCGCGCCCGTCGGTCGGATCCAAAAGCTGTCCGAGGATATGCATACATGAACATTTATCCAAATATCCAAATGCGAACCTCTGACCTGCGTAGACGCAACATGTCGGAGAACGTAGAAGTTGAAAGGGTGATATCTGTGCCCGCCAACTCATCAGGCACACGGATAGCGTGGTGGCAAGCAGGCCTCTCGCATGGTATGTGTATATCCAACCACACGCCGTGTGTCTCCACACTTTTCATCGCTGATGATGTGAATCCCGCGTTCGTGAGGGTGGTGTTGTGTAACTCCAATATAGAGTAAGAGCCAGAATCGACTAGTCAAACCTGGCCATCTACCATCTACCGTAGCGGTACAAGCCCTTGCCTTTCGCCAGTGGCAAAGCTGACAGTTGCAAGAGTTGTCGAAGAGAAGCTATGGTACCCGCAGGAGGTGTTCATGCACACTACCTAAATACACAGCAGTGCATATATCCGCTACCGCTCACAGGTGTACTAGACTATACGTTCGTTGTGCGGTTCAAGTAGTATGCCGCGCGGAAGAACATACAGGCTTATAGGCCATTCAGCTTAGAGATTACGCTCTACGACAGACCATCGTCATTATCCCTCAAGCTATGGGACGTGTAGAGCTATAGGGGAGAGCTGTGCAATGCACCACTGCAAGCGACAGGCGATGGCGGATAGATAAAGCAAAAGCACCTACAGTCTAAAGCCATAGTGTACTATTTTTGGAGCTGGGATCGTTCAAAATATTATAGGCCACAATGCTTTCGGGTTTTAGGCTTGGCGTCGGATGACCACGCACGATGGGCATGGGCAGTTTGGGATGACTGCGTAGTCTTCGCGGACTCGAGTGAGAGCATCAGCAGCACAGTAATAATGTGGAGCACGCGTTACGTAAGCGACTTCGAAGTTTCCTCAATTGAGCACCAACCACATGACCAACCCGTATTACTTGATTGAATGGAGAGGTAGACCCGATAAGAATGGTCATTTCAACCTGCAATTCCTCCCACAACGTCGAAAATACATCTTGCAAAACCTGAAGTACCTGTCTTGCTTTCTGGACACCGCAGCGCCACGCATTGGCTCTACAGAAGGTCCCGAGACGGTGACGAGACATCCTCAGACTCGAGCACCAAAGTATATCTCAAGAGGGAACATATATTCAGAACGGGCGGCAAAACTTTTGATCCGAGTTCATTTCGCGGGGGGCAATAACAGGGAGCTGACCGCAGCCAGCATTCCACCACTGCAGCCGATTCTTGCTGGCGGCGGGGACAAAAGCTGAGGGCGTCTAGATCGCAGGTCCGCGAGAAACGGACACGGAACTCTTTGGAGCGCCACCTGCTTGCTCAGCTAGAGTACCGCTAGGGGTAGGAGCAAAAGTGGGAGGTTCTTGGGAGGGGGGAATCATCGGACACGGCCGCTACTACCGTCTGTTTTAAAAGCTGCCGCAGAGATTTGTCGCAGTGAAGGACCGGGGATACGTCTACTCGTCCACCAGGAGAATCGGACGAGCGTGCCGCCGCACCACGCAAGCTGTAGATCGACTCTCCGTTATTCCAGATGTTTCCTGCTACAGTGACAAGTGACCGGGGCGGGGGGAGACGGCCGGAATTATTCGAGCGAGAACGAGCCTCTGGCGTGGACGGAGGAATGGCGGAGAGCATCTACAACCTGCTACCCGAAATAAAGGAGGAAACGGTACGTAGTGCGTTGCTGTCCTCCTATGCGGGATCTTTCGACTGGATGGAAGGGAGGGATGCCGAGGGGGCACGTGTGTTTCGATAGATACTCTCCGGGTGTGATGATCTGCCCAGCGTGTGTCCAATCAAACTTATGTGCAGGTTTAGAATTGTTGACGTCCAACCAGTCAGCACGCCATGGGAGTTGGCCATTGCTCTCGTGTGCTTTGCAAAAAATGAAGCCGGGCATCCCCAAGCGTAGGTACCCTTCGCTGATGCAACAGAATAAGGTATCCAGAGTGTTGCTGTTGCCACCCTATGGTATGAGTACTTCCGCGTGTACTCCCTTGGGGCTTGTTGGGTAGCATACCGGTGATCTCACCTCACCTAGACCGACTCTCATGGCTCGAAAAGCCACACACCTAAGAGGCTGCCAATTTCCGAAAGGGGTGTGGGGCTGGGAGTATTTTTTCGAGAGCTTTCAATGCACGTATTGGTCGGCGCTCGCCCCCTCTTGACTGTGGAGTAGTCGAAGTTTGAAAGTCGGCGTAGGGGGTGGGCGATCCCTCGCACGCTACCGCTACCACGTCTCTACTCGTGCATGGGAGATTTGACGCGTCAATGCGCCACCGACAGCGCAGAGTAAGGGCTTATTTGCACGCGACGCGTAGGTGCGAGCGCGCGTTCTTTGGCTGTAGATTGCAAGCTACTTAGTACGGGTGTTCCTACGGTCAAACAGACGGAATAAATCCCGACCATAGGGCATCCAAGGTATACCCCCCGGCAATAGGGCATTGCAAGGTATACCCCTCCGGCTACAGAGCAAGGTATAGCAGACAAGACAGTCCCTGGGTAGAGGCTCCCGACCCCTCGTCGTGGGGGCTCGGTGCCGGTGCTGCAGCCATGGTGTTGGGCGATCTGTCGATCGAACGAACGACCTCGCAAATAGAGGCTCAGCCATTGTAGACCACCCTGCCCCCCCTAGCCCCCCTCTCCGAAAGTAACTCCGGGTTTGAAGTCATCCCCGCTCCCTGTGCGCTCATTCCTTTATCATTCCTTCGTCTCGGCGTCGGCTGGCGTACCCCGTGCGGCCCACGCTTTTGGGCTAACTGTTCGCTCGCGGCAGGTTAAGCCACCCATGTACAAGGCCACCTTCGACCACAGCCGAAAAGTGCCGTACTCGACCTTTGACCAGAGGAAAGCCAAAGGCGGCATGTGTGAGTGGAGTGCTTGGATTTCTATCGTTCGTTGTAGGAAGAAAACGTGTGCGTTGTATTATTTCTCTTTCACTCGAGCTTCTTTGGCCTCCTTTGGTTCCGTCTTGTTGTCCCATGCGATACTGCGCAGCCAGCTAGTCAATCAAAGACAAGCTCGAAAACCCGTGGGAGTTAGTCGCGTATCCCCGTGCATGTAAGATACTCCAAACCGATCAATGCGCATCAACACATCCAACGACATCGGGTATGGGCGTGTAAGAGCAGAGAAAAGGTGCAGTATATGCTCGCCAACTTTCGAGGCAACATGCGAAAAATCTATGCCTACTACTGGGGCATAGGAAGTGGGTTGAAAAGGCGGGAAGTGATACCGATAGAATATGTACGGTAGGAGCTGCCTTTGGTAAAGTAGGAAGGAACGATTGACCATCGGTGATCTGTCCTGTGGGAACAATGCTCCGTCCTCTCGAGAACACCTGGCCTTCCGCTATGGCATGCCAAACACGAGTACGCCCCCCACCCCCACCCCCTGAAGCACTTCTTAGACGTACGACGTGGTCCCTCTCCGTACGGTTTCTCGTCACGGGTTTGAAATCGCGTCCAAACGATAACATCTATCAATATCGTATGCACAAGCGTATCCTACCAAACGTGACGTGTGTCGTCGAAACGATCGTCGAATCTACTGCTGCAGTCGGGATCAAGGAAGGGAAGAGGTCGACGGAGCCGAGACATTTTCTTCGGGTAGGGGAAGGCACGGAGGCGAGGAGGAGAGCCGGGAAACGGCCGGAATTGCCGAAGATCGTCCACGGGCTTGGAGGTAGCGGCGGGGGCGCCGCGAGAAGCGGTTCTTCGGCGGGGTGGGCGTCTAGAGGGCCTACGGGAATGAAGCGGGGCTTGCAACTATTGCCGGCGAGGTGAGGAAACTTGTATGTTCTCCGCCGCGTATGTCGAACTGTGGATGTTGAACTGTTGTTGTTGTTGTTGTTGTTGTTGTTGTTTTGGTTGCTGTCATGGTTATGGCTGTGGTTGTCGCGGTTGTAGTTTGTGGGCTTGTGGTGTTGGCGACGGTGGGTGAGCTGGGAGTGTAGCCCCGTAGGGGGGTAGATTGGTTTTCGACTGTCGGGGGAAGTAAGGGTTGTGTGTGTTGTGGGTGCGTGCAATGCTTTCTCCTCACCAGCCGCTGAAAACTCCGGGACACGCGAAAAAACAAACGGGTAGCGGTGGCGGTGGTGGCAATTGTATGTGGGGAACTTCGCACAGTCTGTAGATGTGCTAACAGCCGTTTAGGCGCGCTGTTTGTTCATATTGGTGTCTGTGTGTTCTGTCTGTCGGTTCGGCTGCTGATCGGCATCGTTCCTCCGTTCCTCCGTTCCTTCGCCATCATATGCGCCAGTTCCGCAACAATATAGTGGGAATCAAACATGGAGGCTCAATCAATCAATATCCACTTGCAAGAAGTTGTACACGTGTGTGGCTCCCGGCTGCCTCTTACAGCCTGCTGTAGCGGGTGGTGTTGTACACAGGGGTTACTCTCGGGGGGCAATGATTTAGAAGGTTTCCAAGCGGTAGTGCTGCTTGTGAAACGTTCTCCCCCGTGAACTTTCTTTGTCTACGCATCATCCCTGTGCTGTTCCCAAAAAGGATGAAACCACCAGTCCCCCGGCGGGGGGAGCGGCCGACGATGGGCCTGCACTCCGCCAAGAACTTCGTCACCTCCAACGCGGTGGAGACTATCCTCGCCGTGCCCGCCAACCGCCGCCGACCACCGATCGACTACCTCAAGAAGGAGGACTTCGGCAGGGTGCCGGTGAGGATAAGCGTTAGGGTTAGTGTCCCACCTTGTTCCGAACAGGTGGGGACGGGTGGGTTCAAGCAGAACCGCTCGGTTCGACCAGCCTCACGATCTGTTGCCCACGCCACACAGCGGCTGCTCGTCAAGCCCCAAGTGAACGGAAAGCTCCGTGTCTTCCTTTTTGGTTGTTGGTTACGCTTTTTGAAAGGAAGAAATGAGTTTCATTCTATGTATTTGGCAAAGCTTGACAACAAGCCCTCTCTCACGGTCGCGTATGTCGAGGGGTGCGTTTTCGCCATCGCTGATTGGTAAAGTACGCATGATCGAGGCTGAACGTTCGTGCCCGTCCACCCGTGCGGCCGACGGGGTAGGTGAAGCCACGCTACTCGCGTTGGAGACAGATTGGGGGTGAAACCGAAAACGTACTCCATCCTAGTGCCGCATGACAAGTGCCGATCAAGCGGTCCTAGTTAAATTCAACTGAATCAACTTATTTTCGTCATACGTGCTCATCTGCCAGTACGCACTCAACTACTTGTTTCTCTTTCTCGTTCATTTATTTTTTGGTGCTGCTATCGGCTGTGGTAGGACTACTTAGCGCAAGTTCAGGCCGAAGTTCGGGCCGAAAACGAAATGGTGGAGGAGTTTGTACGGGAACAGATGGGCATCAGCGCAATCGCGAAGGTGAGAACTGCCACCAATCTGCTCGAAAGAGCGCAGAAAAACGTGTTCTTCGGTTGGTTGACAGGTGTCGAGGGGGGGCGGGGGCTGGTTTCGTGGGCAGGAAAGAGGATATATAGAGGAGATACTATCGCGGTGCTGCGTACCTGGGGAGAGATGGTACTTTTTTTCTGTCCCTCTGTAAGGGTTGCCTTCGAACCGCGATCCCCCTGGAGGGATGGGCTGGCCCGCGCCCGCGAGGCGGGGGAGGCAATGTTCTTGTGTAAGGCCTAGTGTGGAGTGTCCCCTCTAAAACAGGATCATAAAACGCCCCCTTACCACCTAACCTCGATGATGATCATCCATCAACCAACCCTTCCTAGGCCGTCCGTTGGGCTGACAGTTTCGGGATGAATCCAACTTTCACGACATTTGTACGTTTGAACAATTGGAACCATGTACCGCAATATGTTGACAGCGGTTTGAACTACAAGGTACGATTCCTAGGAGAGTTGATCCCATTACAGTAGGAGAAAAGGACGGCAATCGGTCAGTATTTCGGCGTTGGCGACGTAAACCACTTGAATCTGGAGTTTCGGCTGCTTTGTGGATTGATGCAAGGAAGAACGTTGGGAGAACTACCGCTCGCCTGCTGCTGCTATGAGCGTACCACCGCCGCTTGTTCCAAGAAGAAAACTCAACACGTGACTCTCGTACATGAACAATATACAATTCCGGTATACGACGACACAGGAGGAAATCCCAGAAATGCCGAGCGAGGAACAGGCGGAGCTGGTGGACAAGCTCAAGGCAAAATGGGACGATGTCAATTGCAGGTATCGATCGGATCGATATTTTCTATTGGTTCAATGGAATTGATGGATGGCAAACCAGTAGCACACAAGGAGTAACTAGCAATAATTAGGTAGTTTTTGTGTGATAGAACCCACACTTCCCCTTAGTGCCACTTGGAAAGAAGCCCCCCAACAACTATGGCGATAGCCGGTGTTGAAAGCGGTGGTTTTGCTTTATATATGTATTGGCAATGGGCAACAAATACACCTAGAAACGAGAGTGTGGAAAATTTCGGGAAAGCGAGACTGGCATGAAAGCCGACATATTTCCACGGGAAGCAGCTTGGGCTAGAATGACGTGGAACACTGCTCAATAATGGGTCAGCATTTCGACTCAAGGGTGCTCGAGGCATCTGTGGATTGAGTACCCAAGTCACTCCGGTGTGATCAAAACCTCCAAGTTGGAGCACCCGCCTGTTCACAGGTTGAGCCGCCGCCCTCGATGGCTTCTCTGCCTCTTGGTACAATCGTCATTTCTCCCGTAACCCGCCTCACCCTCGTTCAGAACATGACTCCTAAAGGCGAACTACGGCGAGTACATTCGCTTGGACGTCTAGTCTAAACGCTTGAATGCCTCGGTGTCGCTTGAATTTTTCCTTTGAGAGTTTAGGATATCAGTTCGCCTAAACTTGTTGTATCCAGGGGAACGGCCTACATACATACATTATATGTAAGGATTAATAGACAAGCACCATTTTAGTCGAGGCTTCCCACCACCTTCCCCCTCATTATCACGACCAATACAACATCTACCCGTCACCGCCACCGCCACCAACAGATACCAGCTATTGGTCCACCAGACTTTTTTCGACAATGGGCGACTAGTGGCGAAGGCGCGCTTCGAAAAGGAGCTGGATGAGATAGAGACCGACATAGCGAAGCTCACCAAAGGCCCCGTTGTCGTCGTACCATGACGACGTGTTCTTGCTTGCTTGTCGCAACCACGCTTTGATAGCTAAGGCGCAAGGGGGGGCCCTTGATCTCGTTCATATGGTGTAGATATAACGCACGAGACAGCAGTGTTGCTTCGATGGATGGCACAAAGGTGCTGCAAATGTTCATATCGACGGAGGATGATTTGATATTTCCCCAATCCCCCGTGGTGTATAATCAGGCGACGTGAAGAGTTTCTACGTATGCCCAGCACTGCTACTTGCTGATGATCACGCTTAGGGAGGAGTTCAATCCGCATTGCGTCTGCGCGAATTACTACAATTGTAAGGCAGGCGGTCTTATGGAGTCCCTTGCGAGTTTGCGGACATGCTGTGGGTAGTTGTCATGAGACTAAGTACACAATAATACAGCAGCAATGAGTGAGTGTTGTTCCCTCTGTTTTCAGTATAGGGCACTCGTTGATACTTGTTCAAGACTATTTGGAACTGCTATTGTCAAAGGTTATTTCGTTTTTGTATCGCAGCTTGCCTCGGGCAACGGTGCTGGTCCTCTAGGAGTTTATTTTTTTGAATTGGTATGAGGTGCAGCAGGTGCGAGAAGGAGGTGGATAATAATGTGGTAAATCCGAATGCATAATGTAGTCTATATTGTACCGGAGCTTTCCTCGGGCAACCGTGCTGGTCCTCCACGATTTTCTTTTTTGCAGGTGGTATCTCGTTTCCTCCCGGCTTTGCAAACGCGGAATTTCAGTTGAACTCAGCGCTAGAGACTAGTCTAGTCTACATTTCATTCTTCTGGGCAACCACCCAACCAAGGAAACACAACTTATTTGTCCCCCATTGGTATCAACATCTACATACTGTTCTCATTGTCAATCCGCTGTATAAAGATTGACCGCCGAACGCGGTGGAATAAGCACACCACTCCGCGGTGCAGGTGACAGAGATGTGCCCCTAACCTCTCGTTGGCAGGCTAATCCCTGGCGAATCCCGTTTGTAGAATAGAAATTAATTCAAGATTTACTTGGAAGTGTCAAAGGTTGTTTCGTTATTTCCAAGCCGCGCGCGATTCTAGACGGTTCGATGCACGACCACCTGGTCTGCATCATATCAACAGCAGTAGTCTAATGTACGTCGCTCGCAGCATGGCACGTATTCTTGTCGCAACAGCTCCTACCGACGACCGACGACCGACGACTACATAGACTTTTCTTCCCGTTCGCCGTATGTGTGCGTGTCTCTCCTTTTAGCATCAACCCCGCGTACCTTACTGACAATGGAATTGTGCCAGGTAATGGTGACAGCGGGATACACAAAGCGCGAATGAACACAACACGCATGCAGACTGTCGTAATATTCTCGCTCGGCATTCCTCCGCTCATTCCCCCCCTCCGAATCCACTCTGGGTCTACTGCTGGCAGGTGGGACTACTGTAGTATTGTTGGCATCGACAAGCGCTGATGTGTGATTGTTCCGCCCGAAATGGATGCACCAACAACAGACCCACGGATTTCGTCGGAAAGACTAAAAGTGCAAATATGAACTGAAACGGCAAAACAGCCATCCCCGATCCCCTGAGAAAGATAAACATGCGAAATAGAGTAATTTCTAGCGCCCATGGAGCAACACTAGCTCATTCCACGCCCGCACCAAAACCTCTCCAAGCCGTTGACCCACCACCACTCCTATCAAAACATGAAGACTGCTGCTTGCATCGCCGCTGCGTGCGCCACTTCGGCGTCGGCCTTCGTGGCCCCCAGGTGAGGAAGAGTGCCCGCTCCCCAGCGCGTGACGTGTGTGTGGTCTTTCTCATGCACACACCGCCTTTGAGTCTTTTGGGGGAAAGATTTCAGGTTCATGTTGCGAAAATTGCACCGGCTATCAGCTGGCTCATCAGCTCTCTGGTCGCCGAGCTTGGTCGCGTAACGCGACTTCCACTCATCAGAGAGGCTTCACGCTTTCTTGGAAGCCGTCCTGTGTGGTCGCACACGCGCTCACCTCCATGGTCCACAGAAAGTAGGCTGGTTGTATGCAGTGATGCAGTGCGAAATTGGCTGTCTCTCTCTCTTGTGAAAAAGAGGCGAACAGAAAAAGGCAGCCAAAAGAAAAAGGCAGCCAGCCGCATGGGCAGGGCCGAGAGGGTATATGGTGCTGCACGCCACAGCCAACTGCCACAGCATTCGAGCCTCACCTACCGTCGCCTCCTGTCGTGTAGCCTCTATGCCTCCCTTCCCTGTAGATTGTTGCCTGTGCAGACGGGAGGGCGCATGCGTCTTCTTTTGGTCCGTGTGGACGCGTGCCCCTCTGTCTCCGCAGGCAGGAGGATGGATCTGTACGTTCAACAAGCGATCCCCCATATCGTCTCTCACGAATCACACAGCAGCAGCAGTAGTACCCATCGCCGCATGATATATACCACGGCTGCCCGGCATACGTCATAGATGCTGTCTATGAAGAAGGCGCTGTTGGCGCGGCGCAGAGGATGGGGATGGATGGGTAGGTAGCCACGGCGGTTGCTTGCTCCGCAACATCCATTGCCATCCGTTCGATGGGAGGGATTTTATCATGCGTTTTGGGTCTGTGGAACGACTCGCTCCATTCTTGACCGAAAGACGAGCCGTAGACCCAAAGCTTTTTCGCACATGCGACCGCGACACGCGTCCACGTAGACGATAGCCCCACCTGGCGTAGAGGCTCGGTCAGCATTGAAGCATCTGTCCCGTACCGAAGTGCGCGCATTCGTGCATGCGCGCGTCGTTGTGGGATAGCTCGTGGCTTTCGATCATCAAAGAGCCACGAACACAAAGAGACTCGATCGATCAAAAATATAAATTATGTGAAGTTCCGAGTTTGTATGATCACCCCACCAGGGATGCACCGCAGCTGGAATGTCGCTTTCGCTACCGACCTCTGCGACAAGTAAGGTTTTGATCCCTCCAGGTAGCTCACGCTTTCACCTTCCATGGCGGTTGGCCGCTGAGATAACCGACCGCTGTTCGCGTGCACCATGAATAGATGAAATCTCGGTACCCTTCTTTTTTCTTGGAGGCGAACGTTTTTTCGGCGAAATTGTTGATGTTGAAAGATACCAAGCGATTTGTCAAGTTGTTGACGTCACCTTCGTACGTATCCTCTCAGACAGGATACACCAGTGGGATACACTGCTGCTGTCGTGAGGGCACCTCGTCTGCCTCCTCACAGAGTTTTCTTTCTTTCCTTTGCGGTATCGAATGGCGTGCTTCGCCGTCGCTGCTTGGAGGCAGCCACGGTTATTTGCTGCGTTTACCTTCGTGCCGACGCCGATCACACCAGAGCAGGACACGTGTCGTCGCTCACCCCTGCCCGATATTTTTTTTTTAGGTTTTCTTAAATCTTAAAACTCAAAATGTTTAGCTTGTGTACATTTACATTTGCTCGTCGATTATACGACATGTCGTCCGATGTTTTTCTGTCGTGTACCCTACCCATGATTACGTTGGTGAAGCTCTCGCCGTTGGAGAACGTGTCCTTCCGTCCATGGCTGCTTGCGCTTGAGTGTATCCCTGGCTCAATACATGCGCCCTGGCTCAATACATGCGCGTACGTACACAGTACAACGTATGCGTCCTACAAACACATGAGCGTTCAGCGTACGTGTTTTCCGAGCTCACGCAACACAGACCGCAGCAGCATGTTGAATCAACCAAACCATGTTTTTGTCTTCAGCAAAACAATGATGGTACATCATATGCAGATTGTCGGTTGTGATACCGCGGGTACTGAGCGGCAGCAGTCCCCGTTGTATGGTAGCTTGACCAGTTGTGTCCGCCCCAGCGGTGTTACTGCATACTGTTTTTTTTTCACCGCGGATGGCATGTGTACCACTATACAACAATTGCATTGTTTCTTTGCCGGTGTTTTGCATCGCATTTCACGCACGCCATGTACATTTGCTCCATGGCCCCACCTTGCCTGTTTCGCCAAAGTTAATAGTTTTTCACCAAACGTATGCATACAGCCCCCTCTTTTGCTGACATCATACTCGCCTTCCCTCCTGCCCACCCCTCCGTTTGAACGAAAACAGCGCCTTCAACGGTGCCGCCCTCACCACCGCGGCCAAGTCCTCCTCGGCCATGAAGATGTCCTTCGAGTCCGAGATCGGCGCGCAGCCCCCGCTCGGCTTCTGGGACCCGCTCGGCCTCCTCGAGGACGCGGACCAGGAGCGCTTCGAGCGCCTCCGCTACGTGGAGGTGAAGCACGGCCGCATTGCTATGCTCGCCATCGCTGGCCACCTCACCCAGCAGAACACCCGCCTCCCCGGCATGCTCTCCAACTCGGCCAACCTGTCCTTCGCCGACATGCCCAACGGTGTGGCCGCCCTCTCCAAGATCCCCCCGGCGGGCCTCGCCCAGATCTTCGCCTTCATCGGCTTCCTCGAGCTGGCCGTGATGAAGAACGTGGAGGGCTCCTTCCCCGGTGACTTCACCCTCGGCGGCAACCCCTTCGGCTCCTCGTGGGACGCCATGTCGGAGGAGACCCAGGCCTCCAAGCGCGCCATCGAGCTCAACAACGGCCGCGCCGCCCAGATGGGCATCCTCGCCCTCATGGTGCACGAGGAGCTCAACAACAAGCCGTACGTCATCAACGACCTCCTCGGCGCGGGCTACACCTTCAACTAAACCCACCCACACACCTTTTGAACAAAGGAATTTAGAGGGAGGAATGGTTGTTGCCCTGCACTCGTGTTGTCTCGGAAGATGATGGTTGTTTGCCAGTACTCGATGGATCCGATTTTTTCAGCCCTTTTTACACCGTGAGGTGCGCATTTTTTGAGTCCTCCTTCCGACCGTTTGACTTTTGAGCATAACCACGCTTACATGTCCTGTTGGTCAGAAGGTTTTCCGTAGATGGGAGGGACTTGAATTGTAGAATTTCTCGAGTGCCGGTTGCGATAGATGAGGCATGGCTTTTGAGTGTAGAGACGGTTGCGTTGAGATTGTTCTTGCAAGAGAACGTCGTGATGCAACCAAATAAGCGGGACTATTTCGACAGCAAGTCGTAAATCTTCACGCACAATGGTAGTGGGGTGGGAAGGGCAAGATAGGCGTGTTCTTTGCCTTACGCCACCCCCTGCAAACTGAGTTGCATGTTGTTCGTTGCAGAATTCATGTGCTGTGTCATGCAGCGACCGTGCAGAGCATTAGTCGACGTTTGGCTTGAGCGGGGTACGTGGAATATTGCATTCCGTCAACTCAGCAGGAGGGTGGTGCCGTTCCCGCCCCCTCCGATTCGTTTTTGTGGTGTTTTCTGTTTTGCGATGGATATTGATGGCGACTTGGAAAAAAGACGAAAACGAAACCCAAAAAAATGTGTCTTCTGAACGCACCTCGGTGCTACCAGCGGCGATGCCGTCTGCAGTGTGCGTGGAATTATTTCACGTGCACTTGCACCATTTTTGGCTGTCTGAACTGCTGTTTGGTGGATGGATTGTCTCCCCCGTCAGCATGCACACCTTTTTGCTGTCTATATGTATGATGCGCTCTGCGATTGATTTTGGATCACATTGCTTAGCTCACCCGTGGGCTATCTAAATGGTTGCTCCCGACAGTTCAGGCTTGTGTGGCGCAAGTGCGTTGCCTTTTTCCGAATGTGCAAGAAGTGCTAAGTTGATCCTGTGCCTCAGTTAACAAAAACTTTTTGTGTGGTGCACAAGAAATAGTGCAGGCGTGGAAGTTTTTCCTTGAACATGTGTTGCGAGGTGTATCGTTCATGTGCGTGCGTGCATACAAACCCGATCGTACACATAATATTTTGTAGTGCGAAGGACCCGACATGAAGGGAGTTACCGCATGCGCCGTCGACTCCAGTCAGTGTCGAACCAACCTGCCTGGTGTCGCCGAAAAATAACACCTGGCAACACATTTTCATTTTGGAAATTTACGAGAACTTTCTTACAGCTAACAGCTACCCATGGTCGTTCGTGCTACAACTACAACTATCGGCTCGAACTACAATCACAATCACCAAACATTTCGACTGCTGTGGGTATATCTCGAATGTGGTAGTCTTTCTGTACGTGTATTTATTTTTCCTTAAATGAAACATTGCTGCGGCCTTGCGCACTGCCACAAAAGCACGCACGGCAGCAGTATTTAAGTGATGAAAGACGTGTTTGTGTTGGTGTGTTCATTTTTTCAAATGACGACATTCTCGCGGGGGAGACGCAAGACGTCACAAAGACCGATAATCCAAGAGGGTATCGGTGGGGTCCCCGTCAAATCATGCCCTGCTCGTGCTGCATGTGGTATTATTAGATACCTTTGTCATCACGTGTCCGCCTCTCTCCCTCTGTTGCTGTTTCTCTCCCGGCTGAAGCATGCCCTCCCCGACCGGTATGTCGTTTGTCTCTCCCCCCAACACCGGTGCTCAGCTTGGTGCAGTGCTCCACGTTGGCGCCGTGCCGCCGCCCCGCGGCCGTCAAGTGCTCATGTGTGCAACAACGGCGACCACTGCAACAAGGAGCAATGAGGAGGCAGTGCGCGAAGCAGCAACCACGGGTGATGACGCCGCGAGCCCAGGGCTGACGCCAGCGGCCGCACCTCTGGCCGGCGGTCGGATGGCGGGGTTGAGTCGCGCTCGCGAAGCGGCCGCCGCAGCGCGAGATGTCGGAGCAATGGCGGACGGGCCTGGCAACAATGGGAGCGTGCTTGAACAACAAGTTGTTCCTGCTGCAACGACGCGCCGGGTACGACAACGACCCCGAAGCGATGACCAAGCAGCACCAAGCACAGCGGCAGCGAGAGAAGCGAGAGGCTCGCCAGCAGAGCAACGGTTTTATGGCTCGCACGAGGAGGTGGAGGCTAGCGCGAACAAGGAGGGGGTTTCCGTACGGGCGCTGAGGAGGTATTGTTTGCACCGATGTTGTCCTATTTACTGCACAAGTGTTCCAATGATCGACGTAGCGTGCTTAGTCAGCAGATGCATGCAGTACATGACCACAGCAGTACTAGTGTGGAGTATCGGCACCGAGTAGGCACGAAAACGACGCTCATGGTACACCGACTCCCTTGCATGTAATATGTTGTATCTACATAGGTCTCGCGCTCTGGTGAGGAGAATCAAGAGGATACCCAAGACAGAGAGCAGCTGGGAGGCGGCGCTCCGCGAGCTGGACAGGGCAGAACGGGAGGAAGCGCGACACAGACGGTGGGAGCAAGACCAGCAAAACAACAACGACGACGCTGGGCAGGACGGCGAACCTTTAGATCTGATGTGAGTTGGTTCAAGGTAGGCGGGGCAGCTGAACCCATCCTTCCCGCTGGCATTCCAAACAAATAAGTACTGTATACTGCTGTACACGAGCTTGTGTGGGCAATTGGGCAATAATTGCGCGAAACTGATGTGGGTCCAGCCCATGTTCAACCCCATTCGTGTGTATGAATACTTGTACAAGCCAATTTTGCTGCAACCGCAGGCAGCAGCGCGTGCGATGACTTCCCTTTTCGACGTTACGTTGATAAATCAATCCAGCAGCAACCTCGTCTTTGAAAGCGTACATGTAGTGAAGAAATGCGTCATTTTCCCGTGGCATGACTCACGAGTCGCGATTCGTTCCCGTCGTTGTCGTATGCCGCAGCAGCAGTGGCACGCGCGCTCATGTACATAGCGCTCTTCGATACTGGTTTTCACTCCGCCACCAACCCATTCACTGAAAAGACTTCAACCCATCTTCTTCCACTACTCTTGTGGTGTTTCTCCAACGGGTAGCCTCTCTCTCATTGTATGTATATTTTCGACCACAGCAGCAACAGCATCACCCACCTGCTGTAGCCAACCACGTCGCCTGCGCTCTCATCTCACGCGTTTGTTGTGCCCTCTGCGATTCTCGCTTTCCACCCGCCAACAACAAAATCAGCAACACCAGCAGCAGCAGCAGCAGCAGCAGCAGCAGCAGCAGCAGCAGCGGAAGCAGCAGCACCGGGAAGGCGGCGCGGGTGGGCATGGTGGACGCGTCGTACGAAACGTGCCTCGTCCACTTGACGCACTCGCTGAGGTGGAGAGAGGCGCTGGGACTCCTCTACCACATCAGGGCCCTCGGGATCACGCCCAACGTCAAGAGCGTGTCTGCGGCGTTGAACGCCTGCGGCCAGGCAGGGCAGTGGCAGAGGTAGGTGTGCGCGTTCCTGTGACTTCCTGACCCTGGCTAGCCTCGCCAGAGGATGTGAGGGTTTTAACGTTAACCCCGTTACTGCGATGTCGGTTTCGAGAGAACAACCGGCTTGAAAAATTGCCATCACAGCAGTCCGTTGTGTCTCGCGTGGTGGGCAAGTATCTTCTGCTCAATTTTCGAACTGGTGAATAGGTCTATGCATCCCGCCGCACCCGCGTATTGTGTCATGTATGCATGACAAATAACAACTGGACCAAACGTCTTATTCTACTCTTTGCGATTTTTTCTTTCTCCCGTCATGCATGCATGTCATGCCTGGCGCCGCCAGGTGCCTGGAGCTGCTCGGCGAGGCCCGGGAGTGGGGCACCGAGCTAAACGAGGTGAGCTACAACACGGCCATCTCCGCCTGCGCTCGGCGCGACCGCTTCGAGGAGGCGCTGCGCCTGCTGCGGGACATGCCCTCGGTCGGCCTCGTGCCCGACGGCTGGAGCTACGGCGCTACCCTCGGCGCGTGCGCCGGCACCGGGCAGGCCTCCACGGCGCTGCGGCTCCTGCGCGAGATGGAGGAGCGCGGCATCGAGGCGACGGCGTCGAACTACAAGCACGCCCTGTACGCCTGCTGCGACTCCAAGACCGGGGAGAACTGGGAGGCGGCCGCGGCGCTCCTGCGGCGGTCGGAGACCCTGCGGAACAACTTCTTCTACGGGAGGGTGATCATGGCTTGTAGGCGGGCTGGGCAGTGGCAGAAGGCCCTGGTGAGAGGCGGTTCGGTTCGATCGGTCGCCGTTGTGTTTTTTCACGCTTCTTGTTGGACGTTCTTGTTGTTGGTTGTGTTGACGTTGCAAGCCGTTCCGATCTCTCTACCTTACAGCCGTTCCGCCCTCTGTCCGTGCTGATCTAGCACTTGACGCGGTCGATTCTCGCTGTTACCAGGCTGAAGTACCCTAAAAAGGTACTCAATTACTTGTTTGTACCCGAATTTTGTTTCCGTTCTTGCTAGGGTGGGCAGTTTTTGGTCTGTCCTGGGGGAAGGAAAGGGGTTCGTTTCGGGATCGCGCAACGCGGACAGAGGGCTAGTGTCTGACTTAAGCCGCATGGACATTATGTTACTGTGCATAGCTGTGTTTATGAGCGCTTTCCACCCGCCTGGCCAAATGCGGTCTCCAATAAAATCGAACCGAACCAACCCAGGAAGTGCTGAGGGAAATGTCCCGGGTGGGCTTAGCTCCGGACATCTTCTGCTACGACACCGTCATCTCCGTCGCCTGCATGAGCAGTGTCGGCGCTCAGTGGAAGATCGCTAGGGACCTCCTGAGAGAGCAGGTCGGGACTGGTGTTGGCGTTGTTGATGATTTGTTGGTGCTTGCTGTCGTTGTTGTCGTTGTAGTTGCCGTTTGTTTGTTACGTGTTTGTTCTCGTGACATCGGATACATCGTCGCTGCCGGTTCTGCTGGTCTGGTTGGACCCCATTTCCCTCTCACGCAGGACCGAGCCAATTAACCGATTTAGAGAAATCGAGAACATATTTTCATCGTAAACGGTACTCACATTGGACCAATCCAACCGTCACCAACCCATCCCTTTGCTTGCGATGCAACTCGATGCGACTCGATGCGATGCGGTGGAACGTGGTGCGGTGCAATGCGGTGCGATGCGGTGCAATGCGGCACACGTGGGCGGGCAGGCCAAGACGGGCGTCCCGTGCAGCCTTATCTCTTACAACCTCGTGCTCTCCGCCTGCAAGAAGGCCGGCAGGCCAAGGCAGGCGGTCTCCCTGCTCCGCGCGATGAGGGGGCACGGCTGCAGCCCGGACGTGATCAGCTACAACACCGCCATCTCCGCCTGCGTCAAGCGCCGCGAGTGGGAGTTGGCGCTGTTCGTCCTGAGGGATATGCAGCGGCCGGACAGCCGCTTGGAACCCAACACGTACAGGTGCGGCGGAATGACGACGACGTTGGTTGGCGCTCTCTGACTTTTGTTCGGTAGTCTACGCAGGTTTTTCTACGTGAGCAAACATACTGGATAGGGTATAGAATCGGCTAAATTGGGGTTAGGGTTAGGTTTAGGGTCTGCGTGCCCCCTGCCTGGTTCTTTTCTCGTCAAAACTTACTTTCTTTGCGTAGGCAGTCCGTTTTTTTGGGGGGGGTATCCCTCTGTATGTATCTGCGCCTGGAATGACAAATGTTGCTGAGACGGCACGATCAGCGAGCCCGGTGAGGATAAGGGTCGAGGTCGTCTTTTTCCTCTAGGTGGCACAGATTAGGAACGCTCTTTGAGGAACGTTCTTGGATCTCTTCTCGAACCCTAGTCCTCCTCAATAAAGGACGAAATAAACGAGCGAGAATATAGCCTTACACCTAAAGTAGTGCGTTAAATACCGACTGGCTGCTGTCGAGCCGTGAGAGGTCTTTGTGGCGACACGCATGCACATCTCTCTTTAGTGAAGGGCATTACTTTCGGCAGAGCACATACTGCAGACAATGCTTATTCCGCGAAATAAGTCCATTTTTCAAACTCACGATATCGGGACTGCTGAGTGGGTAGAGAAGTGGTGGTCGCGTGCGTCTTGTAAAGATGAACGAAACCCTCATATGGTTTTTCATCCGTGAGCGTGAGCATTTTTCTTCGTAAATACGTAGCTGCTGGGACGTCATGCAAGGCTCTGTGCTGTATCACGCGAGTTGTAGATACTCTGCCTAGGCTTTTCCTAGCCGGCGTCGCGAGAGTTAAGCATTGTACGCGAAAGTCACAGACACGGCGAGTTCGAGTTTTGTATTTCATTTTTCCGAAGGATGACGTCACGAACATGGGTGACGTCATCGGTCGACCATGGAGTTTTCAACCAAATGAAATCTCCTTTAAGAAATATTGGCCAATCAGAAAACTGCGGCGCCTTTTTTCTCTCTCTCCGCCCTATCCGAACCCCTGAGCCATATCTACCACCGGCGCGTTTGCGGCCGTCGCTCGTAAGGATGACTGACCCGTCAACGCCGGTGCCGGCCGTCAACACACCGGACACTCCGCTTTATAGCGCAGACAGCCGCGCCTACCATGGGTTGCATGAAATGTCGCACCCCCTGGAACGGTTTTCGAAGCTCGATTACTCCGCGACGAATAGGATGCCGAAATTGAAGTATACGTTTTCGGAAAGCACGAGACGAGACCGTTCCAACGCCTCCCGCCATTTTCGGCACCGTCACCGCCTTTCCTGCCGAGATATCGAGCTTCGAAAATCGTTCCAGGGGCTGTGATGTCTTGTGTTATGCAGCCTACGGTACGGGTGTCGGGAGGCGTCGCGTGATACGAGCGGTGCTTTTGTTGCTTTCTCGACAGAGTTTGCTTTTGTAAAAAATGGATTTTACACCACCCCGTGCCCGGCCTTCCCAATTTGTGTATTTGTCGTCAGTGGTCAATGGTCTAACCGCTCAAAAGGCACGCAAAATATAAGAGTACGCCGTTCCTTACCCGACCTTTCCAAAAATATGTATTTATCGTCAGCTACGGGAGCGTCATCACTGTGTGCGCGACTTGCGGGGAGGTGGATCAAGCGGTGGGGCTCTTCGACGAGATGCCCGAGGCCGGGGTGAAGGTCGACGCCTTCACGTACAACTCCGTAGCCATGGCCTACGCGAGGGACGGCCGGTGGCGGCAGGCCATCTCCACGCTCTCGGACATGTCCGAGCTGGGCCACGTGGGCGACGTTGTCAGCTACACTGCAGGTGTGGTGAACTGTATACCTTGGAACGTCGGTCCCCAGTCAGTGCCGTTATGTGCCCGAAAAACAAGATAGTCTACGCAGCAAAAATGATTAATCAAACACATGGGATGAAATTCTCAACCCGTGCCTTGGGGTTAGGGTTAGGGTGAGGGTTAGGGTTAGGGCTAGGGTTAGGGTTAGGGATAGGGTCTACGTGCCCCCTCCCTATATATATTTTTTTAGACAATCTTAAAATCCTGCGTAGGCGGTCCCCGAAATTCCACCGGCACTATATACGGAACCGGTACTATATACCGAACCGGCACCATTCAAGAGTGACTTTGGAAATTAAGCGTGTGCCCGCCGAAAACACCGGAACTATACCGGGCATGGGCACGATTCCACCGGCGCTAATCAGGAAACTCTACTGTGCTACAAAAGACGACGACTCGTAGGAAATTCCCCAGCTTCCGACTGGTGCCGGTATGCGCGGTTTCACGTAGACATGGAGTGCAAGTTAGGCGGGCGGCTGACGAATCCATCCCTCCACGCCCCCCCTCCTCCTCCTCCTCATTTTTGTTTGTATGTCGTTATCCACCCCGCCTCTTCTTCCTCCCCCCCTCACTACGTTTTCCTCTTTCGTGTCTCCCGCAAACCAGTCTCTCCCGCTGGCCAATCAACCCACCCAATTACCCAGCCATATGGCATTAATTTGCTGTATGCGATCGCTTTCCCTGCTCTTCTTCCTCCTCCCCTCACGACGTTTCCCTTTCTCGTGTCTCCTGCAAGCCAGTCTCCCGTTATCCAATCAACCATCCAACTAAACAACCGTGTGGGCACGAACGGGTCACCGACGACGTTCACACAGCGATTCGCTTTCCCCCCCCCCGTTTTCTGTTTGCGGTTATTTATCCCGATCTTCCTTTCCCCCCCCCCCACCACATTCCCCCGCTCCCGCTAACCCATCAATCATCCGTCCAACTAAACCAACCGCTCGCGCCGCGTCGACGACGTGCGCACAGCGATTCGCGCCTGCGGCTGGGCCGGAGAGTGCGACCGCGCCCTGTCCCTCCTCCGCGAGATGCGGGAGGAGAAGGGGGTGAAGCCCAACGAGAAGACGTTCGCCGCGGCGATCTCGGCCTGCGGCCACGGGGGGAGATGGGAGCGGGGCCTGGAGCTCCTGTCCGAGATGCCGCGGAGCACCGGCTTCCTCCCTGATGCCGACTGCTACACGAGTGGTGAGAGCGCGCGAACCACGGACGGGTCGAAGGGTTTTGTTTTGGTGGTGGTGGTGGTGGTGGTGGTGGTGGTGGTGGTGACGGAAAAATTGGCCATATTGTCTTCGTACGTACGTCCGAATCAGTTAGACCAGGTAAATAGAAGGTACTGAGCGGAGACCGGAACTGTTTTAGTGTAAAGACAACAACAACAACAACAACAACAACAACAACAACAACAACAACAACAACAGCAACGTGCACCATCCACACCGCTGCATGGACCCGAGGGGAATTCCTGTACCAACATATCGTACCATCTCCATGCACTGCCCTGCTAGACCGCCAACAGAATAGCAAGCGTTTCTTGTCACAGAAAATGTAGCAACGTACGGAGAAAGTGGCACATTCCGCTGATTGGCGGAATCCGGCCTGAAAGATCGCGCGTCGGCGACAAATAACTCCGCCCCCCCCCCATTTCGTTTGCTCGGCTTTCGGTCGCTGCAAAGCCATAAAGGCGTGCGGGAAGGGAGGGCAATGGGAGCAGGCGTTCACCCTTCTGAGAGAAGCTGCAGCGGAAGGGACAACGCCGGATGCGAAGACTTACGAGGTGGGTATACATGGCACATACTGCGCGCACAGGGTGCAGCCGTCTCACAAGAGAGCATATCCCGCCGTGAACGAGGGGTGTAATGGGGAGTTTCTCCGCCTTGATTGTAACAGTCGTGGGCCCGTGGTGTGACAAAGGCCCTGGACCGTCTTTATGGGAGCTCCCTCTTGTTCCGGAGTAAAGAAGGCCCAGTTATCGCGGGTTGAGTCCGTGACAACCGATTCCAACCCTCGAATATTGGAGCCCCCCATTGTACGGTACCCTCCGAGAGAGGGAAAAGGTGCCCGCAGTTTTCTGTTTTGCCATTTTTTTTTAAAAGGACGTTTGGTTCGATCACCTGTTGGAAAGGATAATCATTTTTTTAGTTTCACCGGGTGTCCTCGCCGTCGTCGCCGGAGGTAAAGTTGAGACGGGGAGCCTTTTTTGTCGGAGCAATGCCTTATCCTTAACGTCTCGAGGTAGTTAGTGTTTTTTTGTCGTTTCGCTCGCTATGATGAAGGGCGCAAGAGGCACAGCTGAAGCCACCCCGTGTGTGTAGCGGCCTAAATTTTTTTTGGGTGTATTGGGAGGATTGCCCCCCCCCCCGCCCCCCCGCCCGAAGGATGCCGAAGGCCGGGACCAGGCCGGGTCTAGAATCATAGAAGGGTGGGAAGAGCTGGTAAACACAACAGCAAGCAGAGTTCTAGGTAGAAAGTTGATAGTTTGTAAGAGAGCAGTGAAGTGGTGGGACGAAGAAATCAAGCAAGCAATTCGAGTACGTAGAGAGTCACACGCAAAATATGCGGCAGGAAAAACAGATGCAGGATGGAAGGAGTATGTTGAAAGTAGAAAGAGGGTGAAGGGGTTGGTCGTGAAGAAGAAGAAAGGGTTGTGGGAGGAAGTAGTCCAAAAGACTAACGAAGATTTTGAGGGGGGGATGAAGCAAATGTGGGTAGGAATTCAAGGGATAGTGGGCAACAAAAGAGGGGGAGACACGGAAATAACGACACTAAGATCTGCCGAGGGTAAGATGGTAAGCAGTTCTAAAGGAAAGAGGGAAGTACTAGTAGAGCACTACCGCAAACTTGGGACACCTACCACCAACGACAACTTCGACTCGGAGTTTGAGAAGGAAATCAACTCGTGGGCAGAGGAAAACGTTGAAAGATCTCAGAGGGAACGTAGTGATGTAGACGGGTTGCAGGGAAAGTTCACACGAGAAGAGGTAGAGGACTGCGTAGCGAAACTCAAGAATAGAAAAGCGGCAGGGACTGATGGAATTGTGAACGAGCTTTTGAAACAGGGGGGGGAGGGGATGATTAACATGTTGGTCCGGATATTCAACTGGATATGGAAACACGAGTACGCGCCGAAGAGATGGAGAGAAGGAGTAGTCGTGAACCTGTTCAAAAAGGGGGATAAAGCTGACCCGGGGAATTATAGAGGGATAACCCTGTTGAGCACAGTGGGGAAACTGTTTGGCAAGATGATAGACATTAGAATGGGAGACATGTTGGAGGGGAAACAAAAGATCAGCGAAGGACAAGCTGGATTTAGACCAGATCGTAGTTGTGTAGACCATGTATATACGTTGAGTAAAATCATCCAAGGTAGGAAAGACGCCGGGCGTACGACATACTGTTTCTTCCTCGATATACAAAAAGCCTACGACACCGTATGGCGCAATGGATTGTGGAAAAAGATGTGGGACATCGGCATCCGGGGGAAAATGTGGAGGATGTTGAAAAAGATGACAGAATGCACAAGAAGTGCGGTGATGTTGGATGGGGAAATTTCGAAGTACGTGGATATACTCCAAGGAGTCGCACAGGGCTGTACGATGTCACCCACTCTCTTTAAGATTTACATCAACGATTTGATAAGGGTGGTTGAAGCAGTAAGACAGGGAGTCCAAGTAGAGGGAAAGAGTGTGTCCGGACTGATGTTTGCAGATGATTTCGTGGGGGTATCCGAAACACCAGAAGGGTTGCAAGAACAAATAGATGCGGCGGTAGGATACACCCGAAAATGGAGACTGTCGGCGAACGTAGGAAAATGCGCAGTAGTGGTCTGCAACGAAGATAAGAAAAATCCCGTAGAATTCAAATGGAAATGGGGGGAGGAAGAACTACCGGTAGTAGACAAGTATACGTACCTGGGAGTAGAGATTTCGAAGGAGTGCTCATGGGACGCACACATAGCGAAGTTGATTGGGAAGGGTAAAGCTCAGATAGGCAAGATGGATGAGATCCTTACGGACCCACACCTAGACACTAGGATTAAGAGGTGTATTCTCTTGAAGGTGATTGTACCTAAGCTAGAGTATGCAGGAGAGATATGGGAAGGTAACGAAAAGGCCGTCAAGCAGCTGGAAACGGTGCAGATGGCAGCGGCCAAGAAAATACTAGGATGTTCAAGCACAACGAGCTACACTGTATTG